GGTTTAAGTCATCTTGGTTTACTTTGGGCATGTCAATATTTGCTAGAAATTCATCCATTTCTTCCAGATTCGCAAACTTATTAGCATAAAGGTTTGAGAAGTATTCCTTTACATTGTTCTGAACCTTCTATGGTGATATTTCCATTCTCGTCTCTGAGCTTGTTTACTTGGTGTGTTCTCTTCTTTTTCTGATTTGCTAAGGGTCTGTCAATTTTGTGAATTTTTTTGAAGAACCAACTCTTTGTTTTGTTGACCCTTTCTATGTTATTTTTGGACTCTAATTCATTTAATTCTGATTTAATTTTAAATATTTCTTTCTGTCTACAGGATTGAGGTTTAGCTTCTTGCTCTTTTTCAAGGAGGTTCAGGTGTCTCATTAAATTGTTGGTTTCAGATCTCTCCAATTTGTTAATGTAGGAACTCAAAGCTATAAACTTGCCTCTGAGTACTGCCTTTGCTGTGTCGCAGTGGAGCTGGTAATTTGTGTGTTCATATTTGTTAAATATCATGAACACTTGAATTTCCTTTCTAATTTCTTCCATGACCCACTGGTGGTTCAACAGTGTGTTGTTCAGCCTCCATGTGTTACAGGATTTTTTTTGGTGGCTTTTGGTGTTGAATTCTAATTTTATTCCTTTGTGGTCTGGGAGAATGCAGGGCATAATTTCAATGTCTCTGATTTTTAACAAATCTACATTGTGACCTCAAATGTGGTCAGTTTTGGAGAATGTTCCATGTGCTGCTGACAAGAATGTGTGTTCTGATCCTACTGGGTGAAATATTCAATAGTTGTCTGTTAAGTCTAGTTGATCTATGCAGTTGTTAGATCTGTGGTTTCTCTGTTGAGTTTTTGCTTGATTGATCTATCCAGTGATGATAGTGGTGTGTTTAAGTTCCCAACAATTAATGCCTTTGGATCTATGTGAGATTTGAGGGAAAGTAGTGTTTCTTGGATAAATTTGAATGCTCTTTATTTGGTGAATAGATATTTGGAATTGTAATATCCTCCTGAAAGAGAGATCCCTTAATTAGTATGTAGTGACCTTCTTTATCTCTTCTTGCTAATTTTAATTTGAAGTCTATTTTATCTGACATTGAGATTGCAACTCCGCCTGTTTATTGGGGCCATTTGCTTGGTAGATTTTATTCCGGCCTTTCACTCTCAGAATATGTTTGTTTTTGTAGGCAAGGTGTGTCTCTTGAAGGCAGCAGATAGAAGGATCTTGCTTTTTGATCCAACTAGACAGTCTATGTCACTTAATTGGAGAGTTAAGTCCATTCATGTTGAGAGGTAGGACTGAGAGGTATTTGGGAGTTCCTGCCATTTTATCCACCTTCTTGGGGGTTGCAGCAACTGACTCCTTCCTATGGTTCTTGGATTCTCTGTTTGGGGGGCTGTTTCTTGGCCTTTATCATGCTCTTGTTGGTTTTTTTGGGGGGGGGGAAGGGGTCCTGTCGTGGGCCTGAACTCTGGGCCTGGGCACTGTCCTTCAGCTCTTCAGCTCAAGGCTAGAGCTCTACCACTTGAGCCACAGTGCCACTTCCGGCTTTTTTTATTTCTGCTTATGTGGTGCTGAAGAATTGAACCCAGGGCCTCATGCATGCAAGGCAAGCGCTCTACCACTGAGCCACCTTCCCAGCCCCTCTTGTTGGTTTTTTATGTGTAAGACATCTTTAGGTATCTTTTGTAGGTGGAGATATATTGTTTCAATTTTTCTTTGCTGTGTTTTTATTTGTCCTTCTGTTATGAAGGAGATTTTAGCAAGGTACAGTATTCTTGGTTGATAGTTGTTTGTACTTAGGGCATGGCATACATTATTCTTGGCTCTTCTTGCTTTAATTGTCTCGGCTGAGAAATTTGAATTTATTCTGATTGTTTTCCCTTCATAGGTGATAATCCTTTCTCTTTGATAGCTTTAAGGATCCTTTCCTTGGTCTCAATTGATCCTGTGCAGATTACAACGTAACGGTGGGATGTCCTGTTCTGGGCTGGTTTATTTGAGGTTCTAAAAGTATCTGAATGGGCCTATCTTTTTGTATGTTTGGGAAGTTCTCTGCTAGGATCCTGTTAAATAAATTTCCTAGACCTTTAACTTCTGTCTCCAGGCCCTCCTCTACACCTATTAGCCTTAAATTAAGCCTTCTGATGATGTCTTCTAAATGTTGAATATATCTATATTTCATATTTCTTGGATTTGTCTTGAATACTTGTTTGTTCTTTCTCTATAATGTGTAGGCTGTCTTCAATCCCAGAGATTCGATCTTCTGTATGGTCTAACCTACTGTCAAGACTCTACTTTGTTTTTTATTTCCTTTCCTTCTAATTGGTCAGATTTGATGGCTTCAAATTCTTTGTTGGAGCTTTGTTTTACATCTTGTATGAACTTCTTTACTTCCTTAATTTGGTTTTCAGTGATTACTCTCAAATCCCTTAATTGGCTGGTTATAGTTTCATTGGACTCCTTTTCCTTCTATTGGATTTCATTCAGCATTTCCTTTGTGGACCCATGGATTCCTCCAGCTTTCTGTTTGTGGATTCCATGAATGCCTCTATTAATATTTGGTTATTCTCATCATGCTCACTCTATTTCCCCATTAATCTGTGATTAGCTTTGTCACATTCACAATTTTCCTGTATTAATCTTTGTTTAGTCTCATCAAGCTCACGCATTTCTCTATCCCACTCATGCATTTCCCTTTTATGCTCACACAGAGCCCTTTGCAGGCTTTTAACCTTTTCATTCAGCATGTTTACCAGTACTGTTTGTAGAGCATTTTGGGAGCTCTCCTACGAATTATTCATTAACTGCTCTGTTGCCTGATTATCAAGAGTAAGAGTTGAGATACTGGACTTACCATTTTTCTTGCATTTATATGGATTGTTCTGCCCATTTGGGTATGAAGACAAAACTAATTCCACACTAAAACACTATTTTAAGGCAGGCTTCAAACCAAAGCCCTGTAGTTGCACAGATTGATGCAGTAAAAATGAGTACACATACAATCTAGTTCAACATCAAATACCTAGGGATCATTGGACTAAGAAAATCAAAGAAGGAGTCAGCAGACGGGAAATTAATATGTTTAGGGAGAACTGTGAGGAAAAAGTAAGATTAGAAGAATGTAGGGAGGGAAACAGAGAGAGGGAAAATATATAACCAAGACCTGAATTCAGAAAGAGGATGGGGATAGAAGGAAAGGAGAAGATAAAGATGAAGAAAAAGGAAAAAGGAAAATAAAAAAATTTAAATGATACAAGTTGACCCATTGCAACAATGAAATGTACAAGATGCTACAGTTGAAAAATGAGCTTTACAATTTGGGGAGGAGTGTAGTTGGGGAGGTGGGAGGGCAGGGATGGTAGGGGAAAACAAAGGAGGAGCCAACAATGCTGGATAAGAAATGTACTTATTACCTTGCTCACATAACTGTAACCCCTCTGTACAATATTTTCACAATAAAAAACTTATTTTAAAAAATTTTAAATGCAACACTTAAAAATTATATAAGCATAAAGAAATAATGCTACAATTAAATGAGTTAAAGCTGAGAGTTTATGAATTGAGTAATCTATATCTGAATTAAGTATGCACACAATGAAGGTTAAGATCTAATAATTGAAGACGGGTATATATATCTGGGGATGAACAGAACAACAATTAAGTAATGCAAAAAAAAAAAAAAAAAAAGGACCAAAAGGGGAAAGAGTATAAAGAGAATAAAAACAAGAAAGACTAAACATGGTCTTGACTTTGTATCAAGCCATTACCATCATAGGCTGTGATCTAAATTCTAGATTAACCAATAAAATTAGTTCAATAACTCAGGCTCCTCTACTAAAAGTGTGTGCGCATGGGCAGGGCCTGGGGGCGGGGGTGCACCAGTCCTGGGACTTGAATTCAGAGCCTGGGCACTATCCTTTAGCTTTTTTGTTCAAGGCTAGTGCTTTACCACCATGAGCCACAGCTCTAGTTCTGACTTTTTTAGTGGTTTATTGGAGATAAGAGTCTCAGATTTTCCCGCCCCACTGGCTTTGAACCACAATCCTTAGATCTTAGCCTCCTGAGTAGCTAGGATCATAGGCTAAACCACTTCCTTCCTCATCCCTCCGCCTTCTGTCAGCAGCAGTCCTGAACTGTGACTGGCCACTAGGGCATGGCTCAGAGAGGCCACTGAGCCCTGAAACACACTCTAAAGGACCAAGGGACATTGGTGCTCAACTTTTGCAGAGAGCATGCTTTGAGAGGAACCACCATACACCAAGTAGAAATGTTCAGGGCCTTTCCCGCTAGGCCCATAGTCTAAGAAGGAAAGACCAGTTGTTCTCTTTCATTAGTTGTCTCAGCGTGTGGCAAGGATCTTTTCATTCTGTAATGCTTTCCCAAGTGGCATCAAGGCCATCGGTCCCCTCCATCCTCCCCTTCCTCCTCTTCCTCTCAGCCCCATTTTAACACAAATTGTACAAGAAGGAAAGAGAGGAGGAAGGGGGGGAAAAAAGGAGGGAGGATTCTCTCAATATCAGTCTCTAACCGAGCTGCAGCCTCATCATAAAGTAACCGGTTGTGCGCCATGAATTTATTTAAAAGAATTTCACAAACAATGGTGTCATGGGGCTGGGAAGGTGGCTCAGTGGTAGAGCACTTGCCTTGCATGCCTGAGGCCCTGGGTTCGATTCCTCAGCACCACATAAGCAAAAAGAACAAAGCTGGAAGTGGCGCTGTGGCTCAAGTGGTAGAGCGCTAGCCTTGAGCTGAAGAGCTGAGGGACAGCGCCCAGGCCCAGAGTTCAGACCCCACGACCGGACCCCCCCCCCAAAAAAAAACAAAAAAACAGTGGTGACATTTTACCCACCAAACAGCAGATTTGATGCTAAAAAAAAAAAAAAGTGAGGATCCGCTGCGGCAGCCCCAGAAGCTGAGCGGGCCCGGCCCTCAGCCCGTCCCCCCGGACCCTTGCTCCAGTACATCCTGTTTTCTCCAGCCGACCCGCGACCGCCCAGGCGGCCTCAGGCCTCCTGGTCCCTTCCCCGTCCCTCCCGGGTCCCCATCCCAGGCCCGGGGGCTACTGCCTCCCACTATGGCTCTGAAGAGAATCCACAAGGAATTGAATGACCCGGCACGGGATCCCCCAGCACAATGTTCAGCCGGTCCTGTTGGAGATCACATGTTTCATTGGCAAGCTACAATAATGGGACCATATGACAGTCCCTATCAGGGTGGAGTATTTTTCTCGACAATTCATTTCCCAACAGATTACCCCTTCAAACCACCTAAGGTTGCATTTACAACAAGAACTTATCATCCAAATATTAACAGTAATGGGAGCATTTGTCTTGATATTCTACGGTCACAGTGGTCTCCAGCACTAACTATTTCAAAAGTACTTTTGTCCATCTGTTCTCTGTTGAGTGATCCCAATCCAGATGATCCCTTAGTGCCTGAGATTGCTCCAATCTACAAAACAGATAGAGAATCTAAGTACAACGGAATAGCTCAGGAATGGACTCAGAAGTATGCGATGTAATTAAAGAAATTATTGGATAACCTCTACAAATAAAGATAGGGGAACTCTGAAAGAGAAAGTCCTTTTGATTTCCATTTGACTGCTTTCTATGAGCCCACGCCTCATCTTCCCCTGTGCACATGTTTACCTGATAAAACAGAAGTGCTGCGGGTTGTACATACTTGGAACAACAGACTAGAGATACTGTACTTCTGTACCAACATTGCCTCCTAGCGGAGAAGTATGTGGGTGAAAAGCCAATCTTCCAGGCATAACCTAGGTGTGAGACAAAAAAACTTTACTTGCCGGGCGCTGGTGGCTCACGCCTGTAATCCTAGCTACTCAGGAGGCTGAGATCTGAGGATCATGGTTCAAAGCCAGCTCGGGCAGGAAAGACCGTGAGACTCCTATCTCCAATAAACCACCAGAAAACCGGAAGTGGCGCTGTAGCTCAAGTGGTAGAGCGCTCGCCTTGAGCTGAAGAGCTGAGGGACAGCGCCCAGGCCCAGAGTTCAAGCCCCACGACTGACAAAAAAAAAAAAAAAAACTTTACTTATTGGCAGAAATTTGGATAATGGCAAGGTGCGAGGGATGGTGGGCACATGGTGTGTACTTGGATGGGAGAAAGCTCCACTGGCCTGTAGGAGATTGTTTTTAAGTGGAATCCATTTAAAATCAAAACCGTTATGAACAGCAAAGTGAAGAACATGAAGTTATTTCTGTATTCATTTTCTTCGAAGGACCTACAACTTAGGTGAAAGTTATGACCAACCAGATTAAACTACCCACATCCTGTATTCTAAGGTCTAAGTTTAACTGGTCAACATTTAAATGGATTGGAGCTATTAGTACAAAAAGTGTGATGGGCTTTGTTTGCAACTCTTTTACATTTCCCTACCCTTTCAGCCTTTCATCCTCCCTCTCTCTCTCTCTCTTTCTCTTTCTCTCTCTCTTTCTTTCCATATTCTTTGGTTCGTATGTGGTTTCTCAGTTAATACATAGCTAATAGCTCTTATTTTTCTTATGTTTTTAACTGCTTAGGTCTATTTGGATGTAATGGTGAAAATTCATTTGATGGAAATACTTGTGTATATTTAAAGACACAATTGCTCCTCTGGAGCTTGTACGTTCAAGAATGATTAATCTGTGTAATAAACTGATTGCTACAGTCATTACATATAAAAAAGTGAAGCAAGTTATTGCTGCTCACATGTATCATTTGTGATTTACTGCTTGTATTAACATCTTAAAAATGTTTTCATTTTAATGGGTGGCTCATTCCTGTAATCCTCGCTACTCAGGAGGCTGAGATCTGAGGATCCTGGTTTGAAGCCTGCCCAGGCAGGAAAGTCTGTGAGATTCTTATCTCCAATTAACCACCAGAAAACTGGAAGTGGAGCTGTCACTCAAATGCCAACCCTGAGCAAAAAGTGCCAAGTGATAGCTTGAGTAATGGTATGCACACACACACACACACACACACACACACACACACACACACACACGACTTGAGGAATAAACAAAGTTTTGACTTATCACAAGACTAAATATGAAAATCATCACATTTTAGCACCTACATAACCTGACTCAATTTTGAAGAGAAGAGCAAATATATATATATATATATATATATATATTTTTTTTTTACAAAAATGACTTGAGAAATTATATGTTGTCAAGTCAATCTCTCTTCTCTCAACTCAACAATAGCAAAAGCTTTGAGTACAGGGGTGAGAGCAGTACTGGTTTGAACTCAGGAGCTTCCTGCTTTTCCTGTTCACTTACTTGTTAGACTAGTGCCCTACCATGGCAGCCAGCCCTCTAGCCCTGCTTTTTGCTGGCTATTTTAGAGATGAAGATTCTTCAGCTTTTCTGCCCCATTTGGCTTTGAACCATAGTCCTCCAGATTCAGCCTTGTAAGTAGCTAGGATTATACATGTGAGACCTTAGTACCTGGCTAGAAGTTCTGTTTTTAATTATATGCTAAACCTATGAACATTTGAAATAAAACAGTTTATACATGGCACCATTTGTCTAGACATGTAGAAGGCTTATGGATCAATCAGAATTGTAATTAATGACTTCTTAATTTTCCTTTATTACCAGCTTAACAGTAGCTCATCTTAGTGTTGTTTCAATGACTTAAGTAGGATATGCTACTTTTGTGTTTTTTCTAATAACGTCTTAGAAATGTAACCCATAATTTCAATTACCTTTATTATACAGAAAAGGGTGATTCAAAAATCTAGGAATATTTTCTAGTTTTAACATTAGCTTACTCTTTGCTTCTACCTAGTGGACAACTGCTAGTATAAGAAGTTTTTAAATCACCTGAGTAAAAATGTGGGCTCTTTGGTTTCCACAGCATATGGGTTTTGTTTCTTTTGTCTGGGTATTTCAAAATCATTGTGGGTTTTGGTCCCAATCTAAGGAATTAAGTGAAGACTTTAAAACCTATACTAATGTGAATATACTGGCCTATAATAAGAAGCATGCTTGTCCACATTACAAAGTCTTTGTTTGTATAAACTGTGGCAGTAATATCATTGACACTTCTACTGCACCAATGAGTGTAGCTGTTTAGCTAAACTGGAAGTCACCCAGCTCCCAACAGTGGCTCCTATCCATGGAACATGATTTATTTTAGTTAGCCTCAAAAAGAATAAAAATAAAAATATAGATTCTCAAAGTGCACCGGTGGCTCATGCCTATTCAAGAAGCTGAGCTCTAAGGATCATGGTTCAAAGCCAATCCAAGCAGGAAAGTTCCTGAGACTCTTATCTCCAGTGAACCACCAAAAGTAGAGCTGTGGCTCAAGTGGTAGAGTGCTAACCTTTAAAAAAAAATGCTGAGGGACAGCACTCAGGCTGTTAGTTCAAGATCTCGTACTAGCACACACACACAAAATCACTTAAATTCTCCACATCCTACAAACTCACCAAATTTAATATTCTTTCCATAATATGCACAATGAACATGTCTTATAAAAGAACAGTTATGGTATAATATCCCCGATCCAAAAGGGACTCTGAGACACCCAGTTAAGGCAGCTAGGAACTTTATTACCGCCATGTGGGGTCCCCTTCCTACTACTGGGAAAGTAGGACAGCCCCAAGCTCACGGTAGAATGGGTTTTTGTTTTTATGCTCTTTGTGTTTTGTTGGGGTCTTGTTTGTTTGTGGTTTTTTGTTTTTTTTGTCGGTTGTGAAGCTTGAACTCTGGGCCTGGGCGCTGTCCCTCAGCTCTTCAGCTCAAGGCGAGCGCTCTACCACTTGAGCCACAGCGTCACTTCCGGTTTTCTGGTGGTTTATTGGAGATAAGAGTTTCACGGACTTACCTGCCCTGGCTGGCTTTGAACCATTATCCTCAGATCTCAGCCTCCTGAGTAGCTAGGATTATAGGTGTGAGCCACTGGCACCCAGATTAGGATGGGTTTTTATAGGGGTAGGTTGCATAGAGTTGCATAGATGAGCTATGCAAGGCAGGTTTGGCTCATTTTCATTGGTTATGGTTATATGACCTTTAAATTTATTTGTTCTTTAAGGTAAATATCATAAGTATAATTTTCAATAGGCCGCCCACCATGGTCTTCAATTGGAGGACAGGTGATGTCACCTGTGGGCTTAAGGCCCTACTACTGAGACAAGCAAGCAAGGTTACAGAAGCAAAACATAGCCTTGAGTCACAAGAGCATAGGCAAAACATAATCTTGCCTTGGTCAGCATGACCGGTACTATCAATGCTATTGACACTATTATAGAAATGATTTTTATTATAAGCTCCTGACTAATACAGCAACTCCGGGCAGCTGGTGATAAGCCTCAAGGTTGTCAGTAGCCTTCTACAAAGCTGCCAGCTTAGTAAACGGAGAGAGGGAGAGACGTTCTTTTGCTTTTTAGCAAGGATGTAAAGGGGCTGACTGTGGGTCAGCCTTTGCCTGGGGTTTTTCTTTACCAAGAGGTTTTGCTCTTTATTTTGTTCTGTTTTCTGATTTCACATTTTCTTCTCATGGATATCCTTCTTTTCCAAGGGAAAGGGGGTTCAGGGGAGAGAGTAAATTTCCAACAGCAATAGGGACTGAGGCCAGACAATAGGAGGAACATTGTACCAGTGAATAGCAACTCAGATATCACATTGGTGATTTGCTCTACTTAATTTGTTCTACTTAAATGTACTAAACAAAATTCTTTCATTTACCTCATTCCTGACTTATCTTCTCTTTCCTAGGCCTTAAGAGCTTTTTAATTGCTAATATTCTCCAATATTAACAACCCATAATAAGTCAAGGGAATTAGGCAAGTTGCGTTGCTGTAACAAAATACCACAGTTAAACAACAATAAGATTGTCAATGTGGGGTTTAGAGAATGTTTTCCACCTTCTTACTACATCCTAGCCTTGAACTGTGTGTGTGTGTGTGTGTGTGTGTGTGTGTGTGTGTGTGTGTGTGTGTGTAGGTGTGTGAGAGAGAGAAAGAGGGGGAAGATCTGATTTTGGCATTCATTCATTTTGGCATTAATTGATTTATTTTTTGTGCCAATACTGAGGCTTGAACTCAAGATGTGGGCACTATCCTTAAGCCTTTTTTGCTCAAGGCTGGTGCTCCACCACTTAAGCCACAGCTCCACTTCTGGCTTTTTGCTGATTAGTTGGAGATAAGAATCACATTCCCACCTAGGATGGCTTCAAACTGAGATCCTCAGATCTCAGCCTCCTGAGTAGCTAGCTGACTCCAGGGCCTGGGCTTAAAAGAAATTTTGATTTGCATGACATCTTGAAGTGTTTTCTTTTTATCTGTAGGGATGTATCCTTCTTTCTCACACTGGCAAACTCTTCCCTGGGGAGGAAAGAGGAGAAAACTCTGCCTTGACGACCCTTTAAAAAGAGGAAACTAGGGCTGGGAAGGTGGCTCAGTGGTAGAGTGCTTTCCTTGTATGCATGTGGCCCTGGGTTTGATTCCTCAGCACCACTTAAGCAGAAAAAGCCGGAAGTGGTGCTGTAGCTCAAGTGGTACAGCACTAGCCTTGAGCTGAAGAGGTGAGGGACAGCACCCAGGCCCCAGAGTACAGGCTCCACAACTGACAAATAAATAAACAAAGGAACTATTTTCTAATTCTCTAGGAGTGTGTTAAAATTACATTATTGAAATCTCTAGGATAGCATGTACTTGGAGACTGCTGACCCAGAGGTGCAGAAGACCCAAAGATTTGCCCATGATGATTTTGTTGTCCTGTCAGTGGTCAAATGGGAATTTCCCACAGACAGAAGGAGTCCCTTGCCTGCACCCTCAGCCCTGCCTTCCTCCAGGCTGTGTTCTGCTGGACAATCAAACAGCAGGGTAAGCACATTAGTTCCAAAATAGGCCACTGAGCCACTGAGCAGGACACGTGACAAGATAAATCATTTAGTCTTGGTCTTTAGAATCATCTGACTAAGAAAACAAGCAGACATTATTCTCCAACTGCCACAGGCAACAGAAAGTCTATGAGGAGGAAAGACATGGAAAGTAAATTCCTGACAAAGCGGCGGTGCCTCATGATCTCACCTGCAGCCCTCACAGCTGTCTTCGCCCTAGGGGAAATATTAACAAGGTATGCAATGTCTGAATTATGTTTTCCATTGTTACCCCCAAATATATTACTAGAATGGTCGCTATGGACATAAGTGGAAACAGAGGCACAATGGCGTAGGCACAGCTTCTGATGAAACAAAACTAGCTGGGTTTTCATGCTTTGGTATTAACAAAAGGGAATGCACAGCCAGGTGCGAGTGGCCCACACCTGCGATCCTAGCTACACAGGAGGCTGAAATCTGAGGATTGAGGCTCAAAGCCAGCCAAGAAAGTCCGTGAGACTCTTATCTTCAGTTAAGCACCAAAACAGCTGGAAGAAGAGCTGTAACTCAAGTGGTAAACTGCTAGCCTTGGGTAAAAAAGCTCAAGGACAGCACTCAGGCCATGAGTTCAAGCCCCAGGACCAGCACAAAAGAGAATGCCCCAATATTATTCTGTGCCTTTTCTAAAATGGAATTGTAGTAAGTAGGCTTACTGATTTTCTCTATGCTTTTCTCTATAAATAAATGTATATTCAGCTCAGGCAGGCAAGTCTGTGAGACTCTTATTGCCAACGAACCAGAAATAAAAAACTGGCTCAAATGGTAGAGGGCCAGCCTTAACAGAAGATGCCAAGCAAGAGCGTGAAACAAAAACAGCACAAAACAGTAATACTTTCCCATGAAGAATTATGTCTAACTTAGCCACACTCTGTGTGGTGATTAAAGACGCAAAACCAGGGAAGAAAGCGAGCCCAGGACTCACTCACTGAAGTAGCCAGGCTACTTAAGAACATGACACCTGCAGAAGGTGGCCTCGTGTTCGCATGGCGCTTCGCAGAGGTGCAATTCCAGTGCGTGTCATTTCCTGTCACCTCTGCTCATCATCGAAGTCTCGTGACAGAACCACTCTCCTGGGACCCAGCTACTCAGGAGGCTGAGCTCTGAGGATCGCAGTTCAAAGCCAACCGTGGCAAAAAACAAAAAAAGTACAGTAGACTCATCTCCAATGAACTACCAGAAAGCCGGAAGTGGTGCTGTGGCGCACGTGGCGGAGCGCCAGCCTTGAGCCAAAGAGCGCAGGGACAGTGCCAAGGCCCTGAGTTCAAATCCCAGGACCAGCACTGCGAAGAAAAAGAACGTGAATCTGTTCAAGTGGTTTTGATTACCGAACGTGCCTCAGGCTCTTTTCCGCAGCTGGTGTTGGACCAGCAGATGGCTACCTTGAGGGGTGACAGGGCGGTGGATCCTGGCGGGAGAATCCCGAAGTGGAGCGCCACGCGTGCTCTGATCACTGCGACCCCAGAGGGGACACATTTAGGTGCCATTCACCCCCGAGATGTGAGGAGGCACCAGAGACCTGCGATCACTTTTTAAATAAATAAACAGGACACAGAAGCGTGTGAAGATAGACCAGAGAAGAGACCTGGGGTGATTCAATAGCTTTATTCAGCGGCTAGCCAGGCGGGCGCAGAGCGCATGCGCACAGCAAGCCCTGGCGAGGGCGGCCATGGAAGGCAGCAGCGCACAGCCCGTCCTGCGCGGGGCGTGAGGCCTGCGTGGAGCTGGCCCCGCGGTGCCCACGCGTGACCCAGGCCACCGTGAGCCCCGCCAGGTGCACGTGCAGCCACTGACCCTCCCGGCTAGCGCCGCTGCGGAGACAGCAGACGCCGTACTTCTGCAGGGAATGTTACAGCAGTGTGCGCACATGCGCGTGCACACACACACGCGCATAGGCTGGGGACAACGCCAGCGGCCTGGCCCGCGCTTCCTGGAGACACGCGCGCGCGCCCGGGCCTGTGCGAGGACGAGGGCGGGGGCACGCACGGCTGCGGCTGCGTAGCCGGTGTGAGCGCGGCGGGGCTCCAGGCCCGAGGAGGTCCCGGCGTCCGTGTAGCCCGCCTCCGGGCGGGAGGGAAGGGGACGAGGCCGCCACCGCGCCCACAAAGTCGGTCCCCCTGGCCCGAGCGCAAAGCTCGTCATGAATACCAGCTCCTGGCACATGGTCTCCTCCGGACGGGGGACCGGGCTGCGCAAAAATGAGGGGGAGAGCGGAGGGGAGAGAGAGACACACGGAGAGACAGAGACGGAGAGAGAGGCTTGCTAAAGGCAGAACACATGGTGGCGGCGGCGGCTGGAGGCCGCCAGGAATACATGGCTAGATTGTCCGTTAACAGCAGGAAAAAATAGTGTAAATACCGCGATCCCCCAAAGACCCGGAAACAAACAGCAAGACTTCTTCATCCCGATCCTGTCTATCTGCCTGTCTGTCTCTCTGTCGGCTTGTCTGTCTCTGTCTCACTGTCTGTCTGTCTCTGTCTGTCTCTCTTTCACACACTCACACAGCTTGGTGGATAGAGATCTCACACTACACGGAGACAGAGCCCACATTTTCAAGCAGACGCCGCGCGTGCGTCTCAGTCCAGGCCCCTGCGGGAGGCCTCGGACACGGGCTTGTTTTCCAGAACGATCGGTGGCTCGGAGATCAGGAGGTCGTCCTCGGCGAAGGAGGAGCTGTGGTCCGTGTTCACGAAGTTGGGGAGGTCAAACTCCACGAGGTGGGGCGGCGCGCGGGCGGGCGGCCCGTCGCCCCGGGCGGCCTCGGGGGGCCGGCGGGTGTTGTCCGGGGCCGGGGTCCCCGGGCCGGCCGCGGCCCCGCCCGCCCCGTCCAGCTCGCTGATGTAGCAGTGGAACACGGAGCGGGACTCCTCCGGGCCCGGACGCGCAAACACTTTCTCCGGCTCCAGAGGCTTCCCGAAGTCGGACACGAAGCTGTTCATTCTGAACCTCTTCTCCGAAGACTCCGCGTTGCTGCACGGAACACGGAGAGAAAAGATGCTTTAGATGCTGGCCCTCTGTCCGCTGGGCCCCGCCCCTCGGACCGCAAGACCCCGCCCCTCCGCCCCGGGGCCCCGCCCCTCCGCCCGTGGGGCCCGCCCCTCCACTCCGGAGCCCCGCCTCTCCACCCTGGGGCCCCGCCTCTCCACCCCGCGGCCCCGCCCCTCCGCCCGTGGGGCCCGCCCCTTGGAGCTGCGCTGGAGGGAAAGCACTTCCCAAAGGGCACAAAGAAACCCAAGGCCAAGATGGGGGAGTTGGGATCATCGAAAAGATAGAACCTGCTGCTCTTCTTCAGCACAGTGAATGAGCGAGTAACTCTCAGGCCCAGAAGTGTGGCACTCCCTCCTCCACTGTCAACCTTTCAGACTCAGAGAGAGTGGTTCCTGGACCTCAGACGCGGTGACTGTCATCCTAGCCACTCAGGAGGCTGAGATCTGAGGATCACGATTTGAAGCCAGCCAGACAGGAAAGCTCATGAGACTCTCGTCTCCAATAAACTACTCCGAAGAAGCTGGACGTGGTGTTGTGTGTGGCTCAAGTGGTTGAGCACCAGCCTTAAAACAAAAAAAACTAAGAGACAGCGCCCATGCTCCGAGTTCAAGTCCCAGGACTGGAACAACAAAAACAAAAAAAAAAGCCATCCAGACTGGAGCTTAGCTCAAGAGGTAGGCTGCCAAGCACGCCAGCTTGCCACCCTTTACAAAAGAAAAGCACCTCACGGAAAGAAAAGGACCAAAAAAATTGTTCCCGAAGTACAAGAAGCACAGTGCACGTTTTCTTTTCTTTTCTTTTTTTTTTTTTGGGGGGGGGTCCCGTCGTGTGGCCTGAACTCTGGGCCTGGGCACTATCCCTCAGCTCTTCAGCTCAAGCCTAGCGCTCTACCACTTGAGCCACAGTGCCACTTCCGGCTTTTTTCTTTTTGCTTATGTGGTGCTGAGGAATCGAATCCAGGGCCTCATGCATGCAAGGCAAACGCTCTACCACTGAGCCACCTTCCCAGCCCCATACAGTGCACGTTTTCACAGGCAGAGCAGACCTCCCAAAAGCAGGCTCTGGAGTCTGTGTGCAATGAATGTATAATCTCAATGATTGTGTTCTTAAATCTTTTCTTAAATCTTAAATCTTTTCTTTCCCACCTGAACACTTGCAACAAATTTCAGGCTTTTTTTTTTTTTTTTTGCCAGTCCTGGAGCTTGAACTCAGGGCCTGGGCACTGTCTCTGAGCCTCTCTGTGCTCAAGGCTAGCACTCTACCATGAGCCACAGCACCACTTCTGCCTTTTTCTGTTTATGAGGTATTGAGGAATTGAACCCAGGGCTTCATACATGCTGGGCAAGCACGCTACCACTAAGCCACATCCCTAGACTTGGTACAAATGTCTAATGATCACCTTCTTATGGATGAGGGGACTTGGGGGTCATGCAAGTCTGATTCATGTCACCAACATCCCTATTATCAAGAATCGGACCAGGTGTGATGAAGCACATCTGTGATCCCAGGACTCAGGAAGGAGCTTAAGGAAGGAAGGCCAGGAGTTCAAGGCCACCCTGGGATATGTGGTAAGATCTGGACTCAGGAACATCACACACACACACACACACACACACACACACACACCACATTTGCTGACTTCTGAAATCCAGTGAATTTGTTTGTGAATTGGGCTTGTGAATTGGGCTTGCTAGCAGCAAGTAGAAGAAAAGAAAGGAGGTGTGAGGCTGCACCTGACCAAGACACGGGATATGCATATAAAGGACAAAGAAGGCAAACCGGCCTTGCACAACTAATTGATGCTGATGAAAGATGCGGGCCTGGGAGTGGGGGGAGCTTCAGGCTTCCAAGAGGAAGCACTTTTCTGCGGTTACCAAGGTAATGACCCTAAGCAATGCACCTGCTACCAAAGGCCCTCAGCTAGCTGGATTGGGGGAAAAAAATAAGTATGTTATTTGATATTTAGTAAAACCCATGTGCTGCTCTTCTTTCCTAAATTATCTAAGTGAATCTTTTCCTCAATGTAAACACTGCAATGTTATTGCTGACTCATAGAAGTTTGGATATATTTGGTGTACAAGGTATTGTGAAGGTGTTCTGTGTGTGTGTGTGTGTGTGCACGCACCCATGCTGGGGCTTGAACTCAGGGCCTGGGTGCTGTCCCTGAGTTGTTTTGCTCAAGGCTAGCATTCTATCACTTGATCCACTGCTCTACTTCTAGCTTTTGGTGATTAATCAGGGATAAGAGTCTCACACACTTTTTTCTCCAGAGATGGCAGTAAACTGCAATCCTCAAATCCCAGCCTCCTTAGTAGCTGGGATTACAAATGTGAGCCACAGCACCAGCTGGACATGTTCTCTTGATCTGAGTTAGTGTTTTCTTTTTTGTACAGATCTCTTTATATGAGCTACAAGAGCTCAGGTGCCGTGGAGATTTCTTGTCATTTGTTGGTGAGAAAGGCCTCGAGGAAGACAGAAAAATGAAGGCATCCTGTCTGTTTGTTTGTTTGGCTTGAAGTCAGGGCCTCGTGCTCTCACTTGGCTTTTTTCACTCAAGGCTGACACTCTACCACTTGAGCCACAGCTCTACTTCAGGCTTGTTTTTTCCTGGTTAGTTGTTGATAAGAGTCTTGGGGGCTTTTCTACGTGGGCTGGCTTTACACCGCAATCCTCAGATCTCAGGCTTCTAGGTCGGTAGGATTACAAGCATGAGCCACTGGTGCCCAGCTCTGACCCTGTGCTCTTGTCACCAGGTCCTTCCAGGGTGCTCCCTTGCCAGTGCTCTTGCCATCCCTACAGGCCAGATACCTAGAAGCTGTGTGCCAACTTCTAAGCCTCTGCGTGGCTATCTTCCCACCCATCTGTCAAAGTCAAGCTTTTCTGTTCTGTGACGCCCTATGCGACCCTCCCAGAGGAAGGAGTCTGTCCTCTTGCCCCTTGCCTAGGCACCCCCTTTCCTGTCTGGGTTTGGCTTAGTCACTCAAGTCCTTTTCCTCTCTCTAACCGAGGGGCGCAGTCTTCACCAAAAGGCCTTGCCAGACACAGAGTGCTCGCCTTCTCTGCGAACCACCACACACTGAGCATCTACCTGCCGCTTGCCCAGCACCATGAGCACCAGGTGGCACCAACCACCCTCACATTTATTTTTCTGGGGTAAGACAGGCTGCCAATGTCCAGGGAACTGGATCCCCCAGCTCCCTCTGCAGAGGGACAGCATAGCAATGTTCTGGTCGTTTCCCAGGAACTTTCTAGATTGAGAGGATGGAGACAATGTGTGCAGCTGGCATCTCCAGCAGCCATTGCCCCAAGGCGTTTAAAGATGTGCAAGCTAAGCAGAGACCTATGAGTGACGATTTCTGTACAAAAACAGCCACTACAAATAGATAGAGCCCTAGCCTGTGTGGAGAGACGCGTGCCATACAGAAAGATGTCTTCAGCAAGCCTGGCCGAGCTGGGGCTGTGGGAATCCTGGCTGACTAGGAAAGAGGCGAGCTAAGCCAGACAGAGAAGATTCTGTCTCCTTCCAATGATCTATGGCACAGCCCTAGAAAAGGCAGAGCTGGGCACTCAATAAACATCTTCTAACGGATAGCGAATGAAAGACAACAGCCAGATACCCATGGCTCACACCTCTCATCCTAGCTACTCAGTGGGATAAGATCAGAGGATTATGGTTCAAAGCCATCCCAGGAAGGAAAGACCATAAGACTCTTATCTCCAATTAACCACCGGTGCCTCAGAGTGGTAGAGTGTTAGCCTTGAGCAGAAAAGCTCAGCGGCAGCACCCAGGCCCTGTGTTCAAGCCCCAGGACCTACCAGAGAGAGAGACAGAGACAGAGAGAGAGAGAGAGACAGAGAGAGAGAGAGAGAGAGAGAGAGGAGGGTGAGAGAGAGGAAGAGAAGACGAGAAGGAGGAGGACGAGGAGGAATAATCTTGAGTGGCCAGATGTCCTGCCTCGTCCAGCCTTGGCCAGCTGGCCCTGGCCATGGTCATCAGAGAGTTTGAGCCATGACATTTTCCTGCTCAGAGATCTGGCGGCTCATGCCCATCCTTCCCTGAGCACCATAGTCAGGAACATTACAACTCAAGGCACAAAGTGATTCTCACTCCTCCAAGTCACGAGCATTCTGCCCTTGCCCCTCCATGAAAGAAGGTTAAAATATTCAGCGTAAGGAAACATCCTGAGCCTCTCCCATGGCTCTCCCTGTGAGGCAGCAGCATGATGATGGAGCCCTAGCGCGGGTAAGATGGCTCTTCACCCTCACTGCCCACAAAGCATCCACAGGGTGGCAGGTGCTTCGTGGCCTTGACCACTTTGGGGAAAGGTGCTTCTGGCTTTGTAACAAGTCTCTCCTGCCCTGCCATCTGCCTTCCTTGTGATGGCTGACACTGCACACAGATCTATTCTCCTCCTGCACATGAACCTATTCCCTCTCCTGGCACAGAGTGACTGGGTGAATATGGCTAGGTGTGATGGATGAGCTGTGGGAAGCCACTTCCTGCTGAAGAAGCCGAGGCAAAGGCAGGCTGAGGTCCCATGCATCCTTGGGTCCTTTGGCCATGTCTCAGGCAGCCCAGGGGCTGAGGAGCGGAGGCTGCATAGCTCTAGCTGTCTCTTGCCAACTCTGCCAACATAGAGATGAGCAAGAGCCAGCTGGTGCTATGCAGAGATTTGGGGAGCTCCTGATTTATAACCTGCCAGCCCAGCTCGGACACTTTCTTCCCAATGTGGAATCTCACACTGGGCACAGAGGCGTTTCAAGCATGGTCCTCGAGGATGAGCTAATCTTTCATAAAAAATGTTCTGACTTCATCTTGTTAGAGGAGCTCTGGGTTACCTGGCCACCATTCTGTGGCTGAGCACTGTTTGGATTGCCACGGAAGAGAGAAATCCCCTTGGGGTAAAAGCGAATTGACAAATGCAAGTCCAAGTCTCAAGGTCTCCATGACACCTGAGAGGAGTGGACAGTCACAGTCCCCCCTCCCACCCCTGGCCCCGAGACTCAGCTCACTGGATGATATTGTGTGTGTGTGTGTGTGTGTGTGTGTGTGTGTGTGTGTGTGTGCATGTGTAATGAGAGATTTATTTTAAGGAACTGGATGTGTCATTGTGCAGGCTAGCAAGTCCCAAATCTACAGAGGAGGCCGATAGGCTAGAGACGCAGAGAAGAGATGTATTTCCTGTCAGTTCTGGTCTTCTGGAAGATTCTGTTTGGGGAGATAGGTCTTAAGTCTATTGAGGCCTCCAATGGAAGAGATAAGACACCCACATTATAGAAAGTAATACACTTCATTTAAAGTACACTAGTTTATGCTAATTTAAGATCTCTGAAGAACGATCTTAAAAAAGTAACCTTCACTGGACTGGGGGACAACTCAAGTAGTAGAGCACCTGCCTAGCAAGCTCGAAGCCCTGACACTGACATTAAAAAAGATGAAGAAGAAGAAGAACCTTCACAGAAGCATCCAGAATAATGTTTGACCAAATATCTAAATGCTGCAGCCTAGACATGTTTCGACTCAGAAAGTCATGCTCTATTAGTGCACAGGTGTTTTTATTCATAAAATCATGTGCCTCAATGATCCTGCAAAAAAAAAATCCAAGGAACAGGGAGATCATCGAGTGTAACTATTCTCTGACCATTCCACTCTCTTCATTGCTCTTGCAAATCACTGCAAATTCCCCAATTCCTTAAACCCACACAGTGAGAAGCAAAGGTGTATATGGCTGTTTGGAGGACATGGGGTGGGGGAAAGGAAGGGTATTTCTTTTTTTTTGGTCGCTCATGGGGCTTAAACTCTGGGCCTGGCCCCTGACCCTCAGCTCTTCAACTCAAGGCTAGCACTCTACCACTGGAGCCACAGCGCCACTTCAGTTTTCTGGTGGTTTTTTGGAGATAAGAGTCTCACAGCCTTTCCTGCCCAAGCTGGCTTTGAACCGAGATCCTCAGATCTCAGCCTCCTGAGTAGCTAGGATAATAGGCATGAGCCACCGGCGCCCTGCTGAGGAAGGGTATTTCTATGGCTTCTGAAGTGCTTCCCAGCCACCGTCCCCCGTGCCTTAGGAAGTGGTTCTTTTCCTACCATTCAAAATGATTGTGTTGAAAATTTTTCCCCAATCCTTGATGTCTAAGTGCTGGGCAGAAGCATTTGTTATCATTCGAGGGCAGAATGAAGGCCAAGCAACAAGCACCAGGGCTTGAGTTATGTAACTGTTAGGGACCATGTGCAACCTCCTCCAGTCCCTCCCCCAGCTCCCTCCACTTTCCCTGCCTGCTCTTTGCTCTAGGAAATTGCCCTAGGATGGAGCTTCAGGCTGCTGGTCGGTGTTCAGCCAACAAGGGGCAATGGTGAAACGTGGGAAGGAGGGAACAGAGAGAAGTTTTACTTGGAGGCCAGACCGCCTGCTGCGCCCCTGAGATCCAGGGCAGGTGGGAAGGGCCCCTCTGTTAATGAGCCTTGGAAACTGCCTTTACCAAAAGCACTTCTAGTTACCAACTCGAGTAGTTATCAGTTGCTCAGTAGAACCAACTAATAAGCTCTTTGACACATTATTTTCCTGTTTGCATTTAATGAAGTATATTTTTTAAACCATCCCTGTGAAGTGTTTTCTGCAGGCATGGCAGCTCAAGCCTGTAATCCTAGCTACTTGGGAAGCAGAGATTGGAGAACCAGTTTCAGGCCAGCATGAAGTTCAGGCCAGCCAAAGGATGCTTAGGAGACTCCATCTCAACCCATGGCTTGGAGTGTTGGCGTGAGGAGGCCCGTGTAGAAGATTACAGCCCAAGCTGGCCCACATATAATAAACCCCAATAACAAACAATGGAAAAGGGGACTGAAGGTGTGGCTTAAGTGTCAGAGAGCCTGCTTAGCAAGCACAAGGCCCCAAGTTCAACGACCCCTCCCCCAGTACAGACTGGAGAAAAGAGGGTATTTTCTGATATTTTTGATCTGATGTTAGCTCACTTCACAAATCCATGAAAAAAAATCTCCTTCATAAGTCCAAAGCCTAATGTTGATGCTTTTCATCTTGTTAGGAGCATTAAATAAGAGATTTCCTTTTATCCTGTTATCAAGGAAATTCAAGTTCAACTCAGCAATGCATCTGGGTAAGTAGTTTAGCTGAGTACTTACTGACAGCTATTCCTCTGTTCATTTTGCATTGTCTTTTTTCCTCTATTTTGAATCTGGCAAGCTGTGTACATCCTTTTCAAAATAAAGAAAAAATGCATCCTGATTAATCACCATTTCAATATAGAAATCAGCCCAGGTCAGCATGAACATTGTAGAAAAGGACCAGGAAGCTCAATTTCACCAGGGAAGCAAGAGGCAAAAAGCCAGGAGGAGCCAGGCACCATATGTGCACCTGTCAGACCAGCTATAGAGGAAGCCTAAATAGGGGGATTGTGGTCCAGGCTGGCCTAAGTAAAACACATGAGACTATCCCAGACATAGCCTCAAAGCTTCAAGGGCTATGAGCGTGTATCTAGTGTAGAGCACCTGCCTAGCAAGAGCCATAACATGATCCCCACCCCTGGCACCTGGGCCCCAGCCACAAACCACACACTGCCAAGTTTCTCCATGCATAGGCAACAACCAGCCCTGGTACCAGGTGCTGTTTCTTTAGGTCACTATGGAGCATGAGACATTTAGGTGCAGCCCAGACTTACTCTTGGTGTGGGGCGCCCGTCTTGGTCAGCAAAGTGAGCACAAAAAACATGAAAATCACAAAGACTGCAAGGCCAACCCAGAACCCGATCACGATGGAATCTGCAAAGCAAACAATAGTGGTATCAGTGTATCATCAGTGGCACCCACACGGTCCTGGGGCTTGAACACAGGGCCTGGGCACTGTCTCTGAGCTTCTTTTGCTCAAGGATAGCTCTCTACAATTTGAACCACAGCACTCCTTCAAGTTTTTTTCTGAGTGGTTTAATGGCAATAAGAGTCTCATGGACTTTCCTGGCCCATCTGGCTCAGGTCTCAGTCTCCTGAGTAGCTAGGATTACAAATATGAGCCACCTGTGCCCTGCTCCAATGAAATATTTTTATTCCACTATTAAAGTATGACTGATGGATAATTTATTTTCCCAGTAAGATTTTTAGGTCCTATCTACTCTAACACCATTAATCAACACTATAAGCATCCTTGATTCTATCATTTTAATATATCTCATTACAATTGAACAGAAATTACTTCAAAGACTCTTTGAATTTACTTGTCCAATTATTTGATAAATTAAGATCTATGTAGGTAAGGTTGAAATCAGTAGTGGATCAAATGGTATAGTGTGATAGACTTTTTTATTTTATTGCAGAGTTGATATGCAGAAGGGCTACAGTTTCATGAATCAGGTAGTGAGTAATGAGTACATTTCTTTTTGAACCATGTCTCCTCTTCCCTTACTCTCTCCCAGTTTTTCCCTTCTATCCCCACCCACAAAATATCCAGTTCATTTTCCACAGTGTCTAGTGAGCACCACTGTTGTATTTATTCATCCTGTCATACCTTTTCTGATAAAGATTAAGAAGTTTATGTAAGGCCAAGCACCAGTGGCTCACTCCTGTAATCCTACCTACTCAGAAGGCTGAGATCAGATGATCACAGTTTGAAGCCACCCCAGGAAGAAAAGTCCCTGTGAGATCTTATCTCCAATTAACCACTCAAAAACTGGAAGTGGCACTGTGGCTCAAAGTGGTAGGCACTAGCCTTGAGCAAAAGAGCTCATAGACAGCACCCAGGCCCTGAGTTCAAGCACCAGTTACGGCCCTAAATAAATAAATAAAGCTTGTATATTAATTGGGCTTACATGTGAAACATTATTCTAATTAAATTATGTCTATGTTATATAATTTGCTTCTTTTAAAAAAGGAGAAATAGCCATTTGCTCTGCATAATTCTTATTTTTATGCTGCACATCCTGCTGCAGTTAACATTGTCAAACACTCTGGATGCAAAATTTAATGTACTGTTCCAACATCTAACTATAAGTGCTAAAGGAATAGCAACTTCTTCAGATGTTGCTTTGTAAAATAATGGCAATGAGGCATAAAGGAAGACATAAGGACAAGTACCAAAAACACACGTCCTCAAGTGTAACTAACGTGGAATGATGGAATCTCCCAGGTCTGCCTGACTGTGAAGAAATGTTGACGAGTTAGTAACTGTTCCAGACACTGTGCCTGATGAGCTGCTTCAGAGGAAAGCAAATCCAAGAGGAGACAGAGGAGGGTTGCCAGTGATGCAGCCCAGGGCCTTCCTTCTCTGATCTTGTGCCTTGGGGAGCTGACACAAAGCAGCAGAAGTGGGGGGCCTGGGAGGCCCACAGCCTTCCAAGGAATAATGTGGCAGAGTGGGAGACAGAGTTGTAAGACTGGAGATCCCCAACCCAATGCCATTTCCAAGTGTTGCCCTGCTGATGTGACAACCGTGTTTCCCATGACAGCCGGCCTTGCCTAGCTCTTATTCATAATCCCTTTCAAATAGAATTCTGCTTCCTCTGATTATTTGCAGGAGCTTCCCCTTACCCTAGTCCTGTGCATGTGACAGACCCCAGGTTACTTTCCCACCCTGAACTTCTCTCAGGAACTAGAGAGCACTCTCTCCACCCAAGAACATCTAACTTCTCTTGAAGTTTTATTTTTCTGCCATGTTTGGTGGACACAAGTGTCACTGGGCCCAGTGTGATTTAGGAGAAGCTGGAGCCAAGTAGCCACACTCTGTCATGCGCCTCTGGGCTGTGTGAACAAATGGCCCGGGATACTTCCCAGTGGAATATAATACAAATATTTCCCTCACACAGGCTCTGGTGATGAACCATGCCTGTAACCCTAGCTGCTTAGAAGACTGAGACCTGAGAATCAGATTCCAAAGCCAGCCAGGGCAGGAATGTCCATGAGACTCTTATCTCCAATTAACCATCCAAAAGCAGGAAATAGAGCTCTGACTCAAGTGGTAGAGTGTCAGCTAAAAACCAAGCAAGAACAAAAGGCCCTGAGTTCAAGCCCCGGTACCAGCACAAAACAAAAACAAAATCAAAACCCTTCCTCTTAACCAGACTTATAATGGATGGCCTGAAACAAGAGAGCTGAAATCTAGCATGCACTTCCTCTCCAGGTTTGCTCTTTGCCATTCCTCCAAAGAATCAAGAAAAGAGTATGACCAATGACCTCTCCCACAGGGTCAGGACAGCAGAGCCGGCAGGGTCCTCACCCAGCAACCACAGTGATGGATGGGTGTCCCTCAGCGGGGCCTCTTGGCCCTGATCTCTCACTTTGGGCCAACTGACCTCTCCCCCCGACCTCCCCCCCCCGTGGCTGCACCTGCCCTGTGGACAGCTTCTGGCTGACCACCCATGAGGGACATCCTCAGGTTAGCGTATGAGTGAAGTGTGAGGTTTGCCTGCCACTGGTAGCTCAGAATAAGCCGGCTTCCTGTTATACCCCACTAAAGTGTGAGTGTCTGCTCAGCCACTCTGGGCTTTTGTTCTTTGAGAACAAACCCACTGTCTCCCCCGAGCCAAGCCCTTCCTTGAGGCTCACGGCTTTCCTTCCCTTTGTAGGAAGTCCTTCAGAGATCTCTCCATGTCTACTAGTTCCAGCCTCATGCACTTTCCTGTCCAGGCTGGCTTTAACCCATAATCTTCATATCTCAGCCTCCTGAGTAGCTAGGATTACAGGTGTGAGCCCCTGGCCCCCCTCCCACTGCAATAGTTGACTTAATCTTTTTACTTTCCTGAATATGGTGGGATTTTGCTTCCTTTTCACAGCTCTAGCTCACACAAGTGAGTCTCAGATGTGAAGTGTCTTTCACAGATCTCTTACAGCAGAACACACAGTAGCTTCTCACTTGAACAGTTTTGTATCTTTGTGATGTGCATACTAAAACAAATTTCCACTAATGGTATATTCAGTGAAATAAGTATCTAATGTGTCACAGCTCTAAGTTTCATAGAGATTTATTTCAAGCTGCAGTCATGTTTACAATATACTATGGGCAAAAAAGATCTTCTACAGTTGTTTCTAGAAATGCATCAACAAAATTACAGCAGTAGGACTATCTTCAGGCTGCCTCAAAACTAAGGAAAAGAGACAGAGGCAAGCTGGCATGGAGCTGGGGTAAACAGAAGCACACTGGCATGGAGCTGGGGTAAACAGAAGCACACTGGCATGGAGCTGGGGTAAACAGAAGCACACTGGCGTGGAGCTGGGGTAAACAGAAGCACACTGGCGTGGAGCTGGGGTAAACAGAAGCACACTGGCATGGAGCTGGGGTAAACAGAAGCACACTGGCATGGAGCTGGGGTAAACAGAAGCACACTGGCGTGGAGCTGGGGTAAACAGAAGCACACTGGCGTGGAGCTGGGGTAAACAGAGGCACACTGGCGTGGAGCTGGGGTAAACAGAAGCACACTGGCATGGAGCTGGGGTAAACAGAGGCAAGCTGGCGTGGAGCTGGGGTAAACAGAAGCACACTGGCGTGGAGCTGGGGTAAACAGAAGCACACTGGCATGGAGCTGGGGTAAACAGAAGCACACTGGCGTGGAGCTGGGGTAAACAGAAGCACACTGGCATGGAGCTGGGGTAAACAGAAGCACACTGGCGTGGAGCTGGGGTAAACAGAAGCACACTGGCGTGGAGCTGGGGTAAACAGAAGCACACTGGCGTGGAGCTGGGGTAAACAGAGGCACACTGGCGTGGAGCTGGGGCACAGATGCTGTCAGGGGGCACAATGCAATGGTTCACCCAGGCATTTTGATTTCTGCCATAATTTATAACAAACAAGTGTCCTTATTTTCATCCCTGAAAAACACACAGACTGCCAATCTATGTGAATTTAGGACAGTGATTTCGCTCCCAGCCCAATGATTTCACTCCCATGCTTCCATCAAATAATTAATGACAGCCTGTCCTAACGAGTTCATCTCCTTTTTCCTCCATAAATACAGAGAAAATGTTACCCAAAGACTGAGAAAAATCATTTAATTATTACTTGAGGCACAAAAGATATATGAAAGGCAATGACTTTTTTTCTCAAGGGGAAAAAATTCCTAGCTAGCTTTCCTTGCAGCGCATGGGTATAACGGGTCATTGATGCACACGGGTCATAAGGGAGGGAGGGAAAGCTTTTCCTTTGCTCCATTGTGCCTCTGGTTCTAATCTCCCTTGGGCTTCCTGATGTGTCACATTCGTTTGGATCATTTAAGCTACCCACAGCCTGTACTTGTAGCTGTTTGGAAGGCAGAGGGTTGAAGGATCGTGGTTAGCGGCCAGCCAGAGTAGAGAAGTTCTCAAGACTCCATCTCAACCAACGACTTGGTACAGTGGTGCCTCCTGCTGTCTCAGCAATGAGGGAGTGACTGCTGGGTTCTGTGTGCCCCTGCGGGCCCCAGTGACACGAGAAACACAGATAGGAGGATCACCTCTCAGGCTGGCCCCGGGCATTAAAAAAAAAAGTGAGAGAATGGACATCAGAAACAACCAATGGGAAAAGGGACTGCAGGCAGGCTTGGCTCAGGTTGAGAGAGCATGCACCCAGCAAGCATGAAGCTCAGAGTTCAATCTCCAGCACTGACAAAAACCAACAAACCTAACAAGTGGCCATGATGACACAGATCTATAATTCCAGTGTGTGGAAGGCTGAGGTAGGAGGAAGGCAAGTTGGAGGCCAGCCTGGGTCACTATCAGAAAAAATAGAATAAAGGAAAGGAAAGGAAAGGAACTTAAATTCTTTAATACATATATATGTATATATATATATATATATAGATAGATAGATATGCATTTATTAAGCAGACAGGACCTGGGAGAGGGCAGCAGACCCAGCCCATCACCCCAGTTCTGCTCTATACAATGAACCCACTTCTGCTGGCAGCCAGCACTACGTTTTATTTTTTATGTTATTTTTAACTTTTTCATAGTTATTATAAAGGTGATGGACAGAGAGGTTACAGTCACATAAGTCAGATGAAGAGCGTATTTCTTTTTGAACAGTGTTACCCCTTCCTTCACTCCCTCCCAGATTTTAGCTCCCATTCCCACCCACAAGTTGTATAGTTCATTTTCCACATGGTATCTAGTGAGTATCACTGCTGCATGTGTTCACCCTTTGTCCCTCCAGTTTTGATGAGAGTCCCTTCCATGGCCGTGCACTTCTTGTCTTTGTGTCAGATCGTTAACCATCTGTATAACACAAAACACACTGGAGTTCAGAACAGAGGCTGGCTGATTCCAGTGAACACACACACTGCCCTTCACTGGTCTAGAAAACCAAGTGTGTGTGAACAATACCATTGCCTATGGGCTGTTGCAAAAGAAAAGTCCCCACATAATAACCTCCAGAGTCCATTTTGCATATATGGGGTACCTGGAATCATTCATGCCAAAAAAAAGAGGCTTGATCTGAATTTTACATCTCTGCATGAATCAGAATGAGGTCCCCAGAGTGAGCAATCACTCCATGTGTGGAATGGGTGTTTTGTGGGTAGAAGACAATTATGTAAGAAGGTGGAATTTTCAGGAAACATAACCCATGGGTATTTCACAGGTAAAGACAAATACACCACATGCTTACAGTGGAGAGTTACACGAGACTTACATTTATGAGCCTTCAGTCCTTCAAAGGAAACTGGCCCGATTTCGTAATATTCATACTCCCAGGTGTAATCAGAATGTGATGCCAGCGGCTGGGAGGTTCTGTTTGAAGTTAACCTCTGGGAGGACATCTCCACTCTGCACAGGACAAAAGAGCAGGTTTGGAACTCATGAACAGACTGGTGATCTCCCATTTACCCTGGTGACGCTGGACCCCACTTAGGAGTCCAGGAGCCAAAACCTGAGTGACTCCTCTCATCCTCCTCAGGGAGGGGGTGGGGGAGTGGGACCTTGCTAGCTGCCCATACCTCCTGCCAGGGGGCCCCATTCACTTCTTTTTCTCACTCTACTTTTCTAGAATATATCTGAAACCAGGCATTGATGGCTTTTTTGTGAACTTCACAGAAGGCAATGTTCAATAAGTGAGGAGAGCAGGCAGACGGCAAGCTTACAGATTCAGCCTCATAATCTCTATTTGTGCAAATGTACAAAAAGACTGTGAGCATTCCATGAACAAGTTCTATCTGTTTCAAGCACCAGCCAGCTCAATGTGCATCTCTTGAGCATCTACTATGCAACAGTAAAGATGTGCAGCTTTGGCCAGATACCTAAAATCCTAGCTAATCAGGAAACTGAAATCTGAGGATCATAGTTCAAAGCCAGCCTGAGCAGGAAAATCCCATAAGACTCCCATCTCCAGTTAACCACAAAAAGCCAGAAGTGCAGATGTGGCTCAAGTGGTAGAGTGCTAGCTCTGAGAGGAAAAAGCTCAGGGACAGCACCTAGGCTGTGAGTTCAAGCCCCAGAGCTGGCTTTCGTTTATTTATTTATTTATGGGGTTGAGTGAAGAAGGAGAAGCCACTGGAGACACATATGGGAGATGACAAGCAAAGGCGACACCTTGGGTGCTCTTGCCCTGGGGTGAACCCAAGTCCCCAAGCATCTTCTTTGCCAACTGACAAAGACGATAAGACATGTTGCTAGGCCTGTGTCCTACACCTGTGGCACGAGCGTGCCCACAGTGAGGCCGGCACAGACTCCAGAGCCACACACCAGATCCCCGTCACCTCACCTAGAAAACCTTCTCGAGAGTTCCCCTCTCCCCACCTCCCCTTCATCACAGTCACCACAGCCATCATCAGGGCCACAGGGCAACACCAGCAGCACCCCTGTGCCCCCTACTGGCAGGCTCTCCTCCACCGCAGACCCGGGCCCCCAGAACAAGCCTCTGTCCCCATAGCGTGGTGATGTTCCAAGGCTAGGGTGCTCAAACCCAGAGACACCTGCCAGCATCAGGAACTGCGTGTGACTCCCCGTGCCTTCCTCAAAGGTAGGAAGGAACCAAACTTCGTGTGGACACATTGGGCTTCACTCTGGGCATTCCGCTCTGCTTCCACCTGCTCACAACCAGTGCCACAGCTCAGCCCTGGCTGTGGTGTTATTCAACAAGAGAAGCGAGTTTCCCCAGAAGGAGTGCCACACCCATCTTTGCCCTTCCTGAGGCAGCAAGGCCACCAGCACCTGGCTGGCCCCGCCCACTCCTCAGGCCTCCTGCTCTCTTCTGGTCTTACTCTTATCAACCCCTGTGGCCCAGTCTCCTCCCCTCAGCCAGGGTTCTTTGGAACAAACAAATGGCTCTTGCCACTGCTCTGCTTAATCCTTTCAATGGCTTCCCATTGCTTCAAGTGCAAAACCCCTAAAACATCTGGTGTGGCTGTAATCATGTATATCAATCAATCGTGCCCCCCTCCCCCCTTCGCCTTCAGTGTGGATGGGGCTATCTGGAGATAGTTCAACCCTTAGGGGATGGAGCTTAGTAAAAGAAAGCAGTCAGCGGGGCCTGCCCTTGAGGTGGGCCTGGGACCCCTTCCTTCCTCTTCTGTAGTTCCTGGCCACCATGAAGCCAGCAGCTTGGCTCCACCACACACTTCCTACCATCTTGTTCTGCCCAAAGTCAGAGACCAAGGGACTATAGACTCAAACCTCCGAAACCATGAGCCAAAATAAATGTTCCCTTTCTTAGAAGTTGATTGTGTCTGGTGTTTTGTTACAATGATGGAAAGCTAACACCAAGAGGAAGCTAACAGATGGGATCTTGCCTTCTCCTTTTCCCCCAAGCCATTCAACCTCAAGCATTATCCTACTATAATACACTCATTGCAGTTCTTCAAATAATGCATGTTCTCTGCTGCTCACATGCAGGCCAATGCCTGGCACAAGTGCTTTTCCATCACCCCTACCTTCTCCTCCCTTCTTCCCCTGGATTCTCCTATCCTCTTGATCAGGGCAACATCGGCAAATCCAACTCAGTGCCTGCAAGGAAGAATGCTTGCAATTCTAAATGGCTAAAGAAACACCCAAAAGACTGCAGGTGGCAGAGGAGACTATATGACATCCAAATATCAGCATAGGTAGATATTTATTGCAAATACCTGCGCACTGTCTTCCCTGTCTTCTGGCTTCTTCGCATTCTAACAGCAGGCTGAGTATGAGGCAGAGATTGGTTGGCCCCAAAGCCTCCACTATTTACATCCTGGCATTCATATGTTTTACCGGTTCAGAAATACAGTAGCAGCTGGGTTCCAGTGGCTTAAACACCTGTCATCCTAGCTGCTCAGGAGGCTGAGATCTAAAGGACCTGGTTCAAAGCCAAACCAGGGCTGAAAAGTTGTGAGACCCTTATCTCCAAGTAACCATCAAAAAGCTGGAGGTGGAGGTGTTGCTCAAATGGTAGAGTGCCAGCCTCAAACAAAAAAGCTAAGGCATAGTGACCCTGAGTTCAAGTCTCAATCCTGGCACAAAGAAAAAGAAATACAGTAATACTCCTTTTTATTTTTAAAAGAGAAAGAAAATAATATGAAGCCTGTGTTGATTATTAGGAATGAACATCATATTTCATCATGTAAGCAGAGCAGAAGAAAGCACTAGGCTTTGTCTACAACAAAGGTATATAAAACAAACACAATGACATGGAATGTTGTCTCTCTCCCTGGAGTGGGCACACCACCTCCTGACCTGCTGTTCTGACTAGCAAGCAAGGGCACACACCTCCCCTACACCAGCATCCCTGTTCTGACCCCCCAGCCTCTCCTCCTGACTCCCAGCTCCCCACACCCCTCCTGAGCGGGTTTTTCCTCACTGAATACAGGATGAGCAATTCTCCCCACCTCCATGCATGGAAAAGGGGAACTTCCTGTGGAGTGAAGGATGCTCCTCACCTGCCCTGGATGAGCTATGATGGGAGATTTTCCTTTGAGTCTCCATCTTTATATCCATTTAAGCCACAAGTATCAGCAGAGGTGTTTTTCACATTACTGCCAACTCAGGCATAGACCTAGCACTTTAAGAAAATCCAAGAGATGCCCAGAAATGTTGAAAGATGAGCATATACTCTCTCTCTTGCTCTCTCTCTCTCCACACACACACACACACACACACACACACACACACACACACACGGACACAGGAACCAGGTCAGGAAGTTGCTGACCAATACCACAAACACAAGGGCCATGATGAGCAGCTTGCACAGAAGCAAACCCAGTTGCATTCTGCTTTGAGATCACAATTCCCAATTTCAGGGCTGGAGAGGAGGTCTTGGGTTCAGTCCCCACCAGTGAAAGAGAGAGAGAGAGAGAGAGAAACAAAACATCAGAACAAAATTTCCAGTTGCACTGATTCATCCTCCTTTGTTTTTGATCCTCAAACTCTAGAATGAGACACTCCACCCAGGAGCAACAATCATTTTGGGGGTTTTTTTGGTGCCAGTTTTAGGGCTTGAACTTGGGGCTAACAGAAAGTCCCAAAACAAGACAGGACTTAGATTTTACTCAGATAGACATAGACACATGGAATCGAGGCCAATTTAACAGGCCAGTGGGCACCCTTTCTCCACCGACACAGGCCTTGGGAGGATCAGTTTGACCCCTCAATTTCACCTTTCCTCCTATGTCCTATGCTCTCATAGTCATAAGAGAAAACCCATGTTGCAGGCCCGTGTTCTTGGCTGTGTGGTCCTCCCAGTTCAGCCCACACGATGCTCGTGACCTACACATGACATCAGGTGTTAGAGCAGGTAAACTGGCCTTGAGCTTTGGAGGGATGTTTGGAGAGGATGTCAGCTGACCTGTGCCTCAAGCTGCTTAGGCAAGGAGCGCTGGCATTTTGCTCACAGCTGGATTTCTAGCCAACACGTATCTCATGGTTGGTGTCACCCAGAACTGATGTGTTGGAACTTAATATCCAATGGGATCGTATTCAGTGCTGGGGTTTTCAGAGGTGTTTAGTCCATGAAGGCTCACCCCTCAGCCATGTGCTTAGTACCTCAATGGGAGTCAGAGGCACCTGAGTTGGCTCCACCAGGGCCGGCGCGAGCTCTCCCCATGAGACTCTGACCTCCAGCCACACACTGAATCTGCTGTTGCCTCCATCTTGGACATCTCAGTTTTCAGAATTGTGAGCAATGAATTTCTCTTGTCCCTGTATTCCCTAGTCTAAGGCATTTTGTCTTGGTGTCATAAACAGCCTGAGACACTGCACGTGCCTGGGATCATAGCAAATGTGCAAGACAGGCTTGGGAATTCTGATGTGAAAGAAGCACAAAATTATCCTGTCTTTTTCCACCCTGAACCTGAGAGCAGTGGTCTACGTCGTTTTTTTTTTTTTTGGTTGGTAGTGGGTCTTGAACTATGGGCCTGGGCACTGTCCCCGAGCTCTTCAGCTCAAGGCTAGTGCTTCCGCTTGAGCCACAGCGCCATTTCTGGTTTTCTGGTGGTTCATTGGAGATAAGAGTCTCACAGACTTTCCTGCTCAGGCTGGCTTTGAACTGCCATCCTCAGATCTCAGCCTCCTGAGTAGCTAGGATTACAAGTGTGAGCCACCAGCGCCCAGCATTTTTATTCATTTTTTTAAATTATCTTTAAGTAGTTGTACAAAGGAGTTGCCATTTAACAAAGCAGTTTATGAATACAATATATCCCCATCAATGTCACCTTTTCAACAATCTCACCCTTCCCTCCTCAACCCACCCCTTCCCTCATTCTACTTAATCTTGTAGGATATACATTGGATTCTTGTCTGCATTTGCCCCTTTTCTCTCCTTCATTCATTTACTCCTTTCCCTTTGGCCTCA